TCAGTGGAGTTCCACAGTCATAAAACTGGAGTAAATGGTGATTCAGGCCCCAAAAGCATTAAGCTTCTAGTGATAATGGAACCACGAACGAGAAGTAATGTCAATTTAAAAAAATAGATCTACCAGGCAGAGATGATTGATTCTTTTGATAGCGCTGTTGAAGCAGCAGGTGAGATAAAGCAGTGGATATTTATACACATATATATGGATTTTGGTCAACCCCTTCATACTGTATTTCATTAAATATTACTCAAAATTAATTCAAATTGACTTAGCTGTCATGTAGACTAAAAACTAGCTGAAAAACTAGCTGAAAAAAAAAGAAAGGAGATGTGACAGCAGCAGTTTTTTAAAATAAACTAATTCTCAAGTAGGGTAATAGGAATTTGTTTTAGGCTCAAACTTAATATTGTTCAATAATAATATGGAAAGGACAATTAACAGCACATTAATTAAACTCACAAATGATACCTCACTGGGGCTATGTCTACACTACAGAGTTTTTTTTGGAAAAACGGTGTTTTTTCCAAAATACCTTCACTTACGTCCACATTGCAATCACGTTCTTTCGACAAAAAATTGAAAGAACAGATGGGTTTTCCCGACATTGATAAACCTCTTTCTATGAGGGAGAAAGGAAAAAGCACAGGTGCTCTGGTGGCCTCTCCATCCATAGTAATCATAGCTTAAATGTGAGGTAGCAACCATTCAGTGCAGAAGCTATCTTTCAAAAAAGCAGATTGCTTTTTCGATGCGCTTTTGCTGTGTAGACGTGCTCTTTTGGAAGAAGGTTTTTCAGGAGATCTCTTCCAGAAAAGCTTATTCCGAAAGAAGCATGCAGTCCAGATGTACCCTGTGTGGAATTCAGAACACTACTATGGATACTATGTAAGGTGCCGCCCCAGAGCATCCGCTCTGCTCCCTAGCCTTGTGGTAGGACTGGCACAGCTCTTTGACTTTGAACCTGCACAGCTCTAGGTTCCTGGTATGGCCTTTCTCTGCAAGGCTCCTCCCACACTTCAGTGAGATCCAAGATCTCCCTAGCACTCCAGGCTGGAGCTCTTCTGCGTCCTTGGGCAGTAGAGACTGTGGGAGAAGAAGTGCTGGCAGCCGTTGGAGTGTCCGAGGGGACACTGGGGCACTCATGTCATGGTGTACTGATCGCTCATACGGGGCACTCGAAGCTGGTCATGTGGGATAGGCACTTTCCCAATTCCCAGGACTTGTAGAGCTCCATAGGAGTGGGGACTGGGGAGCAGTGGAGACACCAGGTGTGGCCAGAGCAGTCAGAGTGGACAGCTATGGGAGGCCTCTCAGAGCCCAATTAGTTTGAATTAGCGGCACCGGAGTGTCTACACTAACATTATTTCGGACTTACAAGTTTGGGAATAGCATTACTCGTCATGAAAAGAAGGACTACAGAGTTTGAATTCTGCAGCCCCTTCTTCCAGACTAACAGGCTTGGTAGAGTTGATGCATCACTTGGTTAATCAACCTGCAGGGGCTAATTTCAGATAGGTCCTAGCGTAGGCCAGGCCACAGTGAATCACTGAATACAGTGGTGCAATTGTTTGTGCACTCACCTTTGATATATAGATGATATTGCCCAATAAGAATCTGGGAACTGGATATCCACCCTTCTGTACTATATGCAAAGTACATCTTTCCTCCATGTTGTACATCTTCCACCACAGATGGGGAACTTTTAAACTTGAATGCATCTTCACATGTGGTAATATTTTAATTCATGCTTGAGAAGTATTTTGTAGGCACCTAGCCCACTTTGATGTTGTGCCTGAAGGGTTATTCTTGTAAAAATTGAAGGAAAAAAAGTTCAAGTCATAGATCATATTACTGAATCGACTTAAAGGCAAAACAAAATAAAGTCTCCTTCTGGTTCCACTTACCCAGAGAAGTCAGGAGGGAAACAGAAGCAGATGACCCTCCAAACATCCCTGGAGATGTTTTTGTGGCAGGGAAAACAGCAGCTATGGATATGAGTGCTGTTGTCCTCAGAGCTAGTCCTGGCCACCAGTGTATATCACCTCACTTCCACTCAGATGTTTTCTGTATATGATCAGTTGGGAGGAAGGGTGCTGCTTCAGGATAAAGGCGCAACACCTTCCTCCAGAGAGCAAAGCTAAAAAGCAGCATCTTGTGTGGCAATCTAAAGACTTTTCTGAAATCCCAGTGTTCCAGAAACTGTTGATTGAGAACACTGTTAGCTTTACCTAGATGACTCTATTTGGTTTTTCAAAAGGAAAAGGTTTATATTTTTCTTAAATAATGTAAAGAAAGAAAAAGTGACTATGTCCTTTATTTTATACATTGTAGTTAACACAAATATATTCGTAAAGCCTGATCAGAAGGAAGAGAAGGCGGAGATGGTGAAATGTCTCACGAGTAGATTTGCTGGGTACGTTATTATATTTGTTATATTTTACATACACAAAGATCAAAACCTATACTTTCTGTCTTTGACTTTTATTTATCCTTAAGGAAAACAAAAAAACACTATGAAATAGAAAGTGGAGTGATCCTTCCTCTTGAATTTTTCCTGCCCTCTAGCAGACAGATTTCTTACATTTAAAGCCACAGTGTAAACATAATGTTACCTCAGTAAGCTATAAATATGAACTGAAATAATAGTCCACGTGAGTTTTCTTCCTAGCGTGTTGATAACATGCATAAAATGAGATCCCCAAATGTGCCATTTGGTGACATTTTGTCTCAGTTTCTGATTCTTGTGCTCTGTTGTGTCACTGCTTCCAGTCACCCTGACTCTTTGTATATATGTGCGCAAAGCTTAAGGCAATATGGGAAAGTTAATATGTGCAATGGAAAGTGTCAAGACAATTATCTGTGCCCCATTTTCAACTGGAGTTGGGAGACTAGTTCTCTTAGACCCCTTTGAAAATCTAAGCCCATATATTTATTCAGCCCCCTCAGTATCCTTAACAGTATAGCCAACTACTGGAAATATTGGTGGAGCATAGATGGATGTCTTCTGATAAATAAACAATACACCTTTTACCATGTCATGGTAATAATTCAGTAGCTTACTGGATATGAGGAACTTTTAAAATCTTGAGAAATCTTTTGCAATTGCCTCAAACCCCCACCTATGTTGGAGGTTTGTCTCCGAATGCTCCTTCCCCCCTTAAATCTTCATGGATTATATTTGCAGATAACCTCCCAAGGCTTTCTGGTCATGATGTTCTTGTGTTGTCTGTTTCAATTTCTATAGTTAGCAGGCTCCAGGCAGTATTTGCTGTTTCCCTTCAAGTCCTGATGCATAGATGGAAGTTTGTCGCACAGTTTCATTTGCATCACTGTGATCTTTTTCTGCATTGATGCATCTAGCCGCTAAATCAGTGATGACCTTTTTCCCTGCCATCTTCTATTGCTCTTGTCATGTAAGTGGATAGTATTGCAAGGAAAGTTCTTCTAATTCATTTTCTTTCATCCATTTTATTCCCCATTTTCCACTTTTATATGGAACCCTCATGGCATATTTATGTTCTGGAAAACACAAGCGTATAGGCTTCTTCTACCCGTAGGGTTTTTTTATATTCTTTTGGGAAAATATCACTGCCCTAATTAGAAGTTCAGTGGTGTATCCTTAAATGCAGAATTACTATGTATGAACTTTCTGAATGTTTCTATGCAAAAAGTCATAAATAAATTATATTGCCTGAAGGTATATATTAGTATGCAAATAGAAATTTCAGGGTACATGCCTGGAAGTTACAGTAATAAACTGCAAGAGTCTAAGCACAATTCTGCAGGGTCTCCAGGTTAATTCGAGAGTATCAGAGCTATAGCTACAGAAGACCTGATCTTCTGCTGTCTTACACCATGGGAGCGTCTAGACTGGCAAGATTTTGCGCAAAAGCAAGTGCTTTTGCGCAAAAACTTGCCACCTGTCTACACTGGCCGCGAGTATTTGTGCAAGAGCACTGACTTTATACTGTACAAAATCAGTGGTTCTTGCGCAAATACTTTGATGCTCCCACTCAGGGATAAGCCCTCTTGTGGCCATCAGAGCTTTCTTGCTCAAGAGAGCGTCTACACTGGCACAGATGCTTTTGCACAAAAGCAAATCTTTTGTGCAAAGGCACTTGCCAGTATAGATGCTCTTTTGCGGAAATACTTTTAACAGAAAAACTATGGCTACTTGGGAAGCAGTGATTTGCTTGCTGCTGCAGAACCCAGGAGACATCCCTTCCATTTCTCAGGGCTTCTGGCAAGGAGGCTGCAGGCCTTGGTTTGCATAGTTTTAAAGGGATGATGGGCCTTCCTGATTTGTGGGGATTGAGAAAAGGGACCCTATGGGATTTGTCATTTTGTAAGCACATCACTGACTATGTTAATTCCTTAAAGTAATATATAAGATAAAAGTATTTCCAATAAAATATACTATGTTAATGTCATTGAAGTAGTTCATTCATCACACCTTATCCTATATTTTCCCCGGGCAATGCCGAGTATTTCTGCTAGTTGAAATTGTAGGCCAAATTCTGCTTGCGTTCTTCATGCGACAGAGGTACAGTGACTGATGGATTCCTGACAGCAGTGGGGCTTATCAAGCTGTCTGGAATGGCTCACGAATGTGGGTACAAACCTCAGGGCAGACGGTTACAAACAAGGGCATAATTCCCAAACTGGCTGTGTGATCTATAATTAGATTTCACCTACTACGTGTAATGTGAACTCCTCAGACACTGTAACAGCCTTACCAGTGACTCACAATCCCCTTGGGGTTTTTGGGTTTATCCTGCTACCCAGGCAAGCCTGCCTTTGAGATAGATGGCTCCTTAGACCAAAAATCACCATATTCAGGTTATTTCCAGTCCAGAAGGACCAGTCGCTTACCCCAGGTCAACCGTGCCTCTGATCTCTCACCAGAGACAACACTTGTAGCCAATTCTAAGAAATGAGAGTTTATTACAAGGTTCAAGCAGGTAAACATAGGTGCAAAAATAAGTTACAGTCTTAGGTTTCAAAAAGTAACAGAAGCCTCTATATTGTGTGAGCTCTATATGCCCTGAAGGGCTAACTCCGACTAAGCAGCTTGGGGATCCCTTGCTTAAGCTTAGAAATATTACCCTCTTCACATTCTAAGCAGCATAGTGATACAGTTCCTTCAGGTCCACCATTTTTATTCTCACCCCTTCAGTTCAAACTATAATGGGATGAAAGTTTGTGCACAGCCCCTCTCCCATTGGCACGTGGAGAGTAATAAACAGTCTTTTGTCCACAGATGTTCCATAGTGGCTTGTCTGTTGTCTACAGGCCTTCTTTTGTTGGGCAGGAGATGACACCTCTTTTGGTAAACTGGTATTTCACACTTGCTAATGCTTCCTTCTGGAGGGGAAGGTTCTACAGTAAAGTCTTGGTTATCCAACCTAAATGGGACCAGAGGATGGTCAGATAACAATGTCGAATAGTAATGTCGAATAATAGGGATGGCAGCAGCAGCAGCTGAGGGGGGGAGCCTCCCAAGTGGGCTCCATTCTTTGTCTTGGGGGGAGTTGGCGTGTGCACTGCCCCCTCCCTGGCAGATTCTGGACACTGCGTCCTCTCCCTTCCTCTTCTTCCCTCCTCCCCCGGGCCACCCGGACATGCCCAAGGCCCCGGCGCTCCTGCCTCCCCTCGCCACCCCCCCCTTTCCTTCCCTTCCTGCCTTGGGCCGGACTCCCTGGTTGCTCCAGCCGTGTCCAGGCCTGCTCCTAAAAGCAGAGCTGCTAACGCAGCAGGACGGCCAGGATTGGGCCCCGAGCAGGACACGGGCCCAACATACCTGAGCGCCGGGTGAGTCCACAGCATGGGCGTAAGCTGCCCCAGGCGTGGTGTGGGGAGGTAAGGTTGCTGAGCCCGCACTACATGCCATTGTGGTATGAAATGTCCCTGGAGCCCCGTGCCATCACGTGACAGGCGGCACCGTTGGATAAAACAGAAGGTCGGATTAGTGAAAGTCGGATAACCGAGACTTTACTGTAGTTCCATAGCAAACACTGTTATAATTACAAACAAACACTTAAATATTACCTTTTCACATGATAGTCTAAGTGAGATTAATGCATGCAACAGCACATAAGCTTTTCATAAAGTCCAAACACTAAACACATTCTTATAAGTGAGCCAGACTGGTTTCCGGCTATCCATTTGTCAATGTTCAGTGAGGCCTAGGGGCCTTGGCATGAGCTGCCACCTGGTCTGCCAGTGTCACAGAGCTATTTATGTGAGGTAAATCATATCTGGCTCTATGTCCTTACTGAATACATTTTTTCCTTGTCAGCGTTTATGGTTAGATTATCCCATGGTGTCAATCTTTAAGATTTAAAAACACTGCCTGTATTTCCCTAGCAGATGTAATAAAGCTCATGTTACAATTCTGTAATACACAGGTTAAGGAAAGTGTGTCTGTGCATCTGGGTATAGTGCTTAAATTATCCAAAAGTGCAAACATTAGTAGAGTCAAAAATACACAATACATAATCTGCAATAACTCAAATTCAGGTTAATAAAATGAACAATACAGTTTAGATACTATCACCCAAATATTCATGTACATAATTGGTAAAAACATACACTAGGAGTTGGTTATGGCAAGCAAATGTAGCAATGAATGTAGATTGTCCCTCAATACCTGAGCATTTAGGATGAGTTGTCCCTTAGTAGATACAATCTGTTAGGCTACGGCTACACTGTGCATGGTTGCGCAAGAAGATATTCAAATGAGGTGCGGTGATCAATATCGCCGCACCTTATTTGCATACCTAATGAGCCGCCATTTTGCAGAAGGGGCTTCCTGAAAATAAGCGGCAGAACGGCTCCTGCACAAGAGGGGTTTTTTGTGCAAGAAGGAGTAGTGTAGACAGCTCCTTCTTGCGCAAAAGCCCCTTCTGCAAAATGGCAGCTCATTATGTATGCAAATGAGGCACGGCAATATTCATTGCTGTGCCTCATTTGCATATCTTCTTGCACAAAAATGCACAGTAGCCTTAGAGCTGTAGCCTTAGAGCTGTATTGCAGAGACTTTCAAGACTTCGCTTTCAGTGTTATTCCAGCTCACTTACCAGTGTTATTAAACCAGAGCACCTCATAGCAGGGAGCACGGAGATGCACCAGCCTAGAGGAAATTCACAGAAGTACCGTGACTGATGCACTCACTGTGCCTCCAAGATTTCCAAGGAAACATAGTCACTGGTATACCCTGTGATAGGTGAAATGTGTTCCTGCCCATGGCAAGCCAGGCCTTCCAGGCTGGTGCTGAAGGTAAGGGTTTGGTGGGGATATTCCTCGCTGTTCTGTAGAGAATGCAAGGACTGGAATTGTGGGACAGGTTCGAGCAAAAAACAGAATTTCCAGCCTGTGAGAAATTCCGATATTTTAACACTTAGTTTTATTCTAAAGCAGGATAAAAAGTTGAAATATCAATATATTGAGAGGAATGATATGTTTTCAAATACCATCCACTTCAAATGCCTTCAGAAACTATTCGTTTTCATATACTTTGTTTGATGTCAAAACAGTGCAGTTGCTTATGATGCTGTGGAGCCTCCTGTGTGTTGCAAATGTTACCTCTTACCGCTGGCCAGACTACAAGCTCTATTTTGCATCAGCCATTGAACTCAGTAAGGAATTCTGTTTAAAAATGGATACCATGCTACAATCCCACATAAAGTCCTAATTAAATCTAAATGATAATGTCTAAAGTAATAGTTTTAGGAAGATTAGCAAGATATTAAAAATCTTTGACACAAAGCGATTGACAGCAGAAACTCCTCTATTGTTAAATGACATTCAAGTCTTACATTTATACTCTCAAAGTAAAAAGGAAAGAAAAATGTCTGGCTAAATACAGCAGCAAGGAAAAAGAATTAAAATAATCCAAAATGAGAGATGAAAGTAATTCACTAATACATCTTCAACTGATTCAGACAAGCTTCCTTCATTTGCATCTTCATTTTTGAGTCAACAACATACACTTGAGTGTCATCATCACAGTCACTCAACAATAACAGGTTTGATTCTTGACAATACCTATAATTACCTAATTAGTTGCCACATTGCATGCAGTGTTTGAGCTATAGAGAGCTTTGTTACAGAAAGATGTATGTGTAGAGGGTGAATCTAGAAATATTTCGGAAGAGACAGAGTTTTTTCCTTTCTCCTTTTTACTGATTTCACCATCTATGTATTTGGGAAAGTGAGAAAATTGGATTTTTCTAAACTGTGAGGTGACCTGTCCCCTGAGCATAAAAGTAATGCCCTTATCCTACCCAGTTACCTCCTCTGTGACCACACTTGTAGGTTTGATGGGCAGGCTTGGATTCTTCTGGGTACTTCCTCTAGCCTTGGGTAAGAATTTTCTTCATCTTGTCCAAATAATCACACACATACTCTTTCTCAACAATAGTACGAGAAGGTTCTGCGGGATAGGAAAATGTTCTAAGTCAGTGGTCTCCAACCCAAGATCACTTTTTAAATGACAGACCAAGACAAGAAGCCCCACCCCTTCCGTGAAGCCCCGCCCTCTCTATTCTTCTCCTCTCCATCACTTGCTATCCCCAATCCTTATACTGCTGCTTTTTTTTTTCAATTCTTCTGCAGGAACAGGTTTTTCCAACATTTGGCCTCTCTGGACTGGACCAAATCTCAGAAAACCCCTTCTTTTGGAAGCCCCCTTATTCCTCATGGAAGAGGAATATAGGGGTGACCAAAAGATCATGTTTGCTCTTCCACTAAAAGAAGTGGAAGAACAAACGCATCCCTGGATGCAGAACAGTGTTTCTGGGATATCTCCAGAATCCTGAGAAACTCCTGCAGTCTAGCCCTACCCTCGCTGGATTGAGACAGGTGTAGGCTCCAGGGTGGGAATGAGGGATTTGGGTGTGGGAAGGGGTGAGAGGTGCAAGCTCTGGGAAGAATTCTGGATACTGGAGGAGGTGGAGAAGGGGATGCTGGCTTGGGGAGGGGGCTCCAGGCCGGGCAGTGTTGAGGCTTGTGGATGTGAGGGTGCAGGAATTTTGGTTGGGGTATGTGAGGGGCTCAGGGCAGGGGGTTGCAGTGTATGATAGGTTCAGATCTAGGGTCTGGGGAAGGGGGAGTGCAGGAGTGGTTGTGGCCAGATGTGGGCTTGGCCCCAATTGGGGGTTTGTTGGCCAGGATTCATTTTTAAATAAAATATTATGTCAAACACAAAATGTTTCTGCATTGTCTTTATTTATGAGAAGGGCAGGGAACCTATCTTGAGTCAGGGGTCATTGACCCACAGAAAAATCAGTTGGGGGGAGCAGGGAACATGATACTGGGGAAGGGTGCTAGTGGGTACTGTGGCAGGGAACAGTGTGCCAGTGGGGGCAGGGTTCTGCAGCTCGGGGCAGGGGAGAGGGAACAGGGTGCCAGCGGGGGACA